CTGCTCCTAGCCTCCTAATGGGACTAGCTTTTTTCTGACAGCGGAGAGGGAGAAGAAGGGAAAGGGAAATCTGCACCAACGGGATTTTCCGTTCCTACAGAACAAAGGTCGGCATGGAGAAAAAGCACACATACACACCCACAACGTCACTGACTGCGGCACGACCGGAAGAGTTCTTTGTTGTCTATGGGCTGGTAGAGCTGCGAAGCCGACTCCATTAGACTACAAACAAGGGATGAAAATTCGAAAGCAATGCGTTTGCAGCATATGCGGAACCATTTGGGCTTATTAACGGCTCAACCGGCCCCTATCGCGTTTGGGTAACCCCTAGAGTCCTTGATCATTGAGTATTTTGAAGTCCAACGCTGTACTATTCATTCACGAATCCACTTGTCTGTAAGATGCGATGGAGAGAACATAACCCATCGTGAAAACTATGATCACCAATCACATTAGGGAATTTATTCGTTCCGCTGAACCACAGAACTCAATCTGGCGACTTCGCAGGAAACCGCAAGGAGACCACTGATGTTGTGAGAAGGAGTACCAACAAAAGCAAGGTGGACCGTGATAGCCTTTCTGATCTACCGGTTTCACCACGACAGACAAGATACCGGACTTGCAGTTCAATGGCTGAGCGTTGGGCTGAAAGCCCAATGATCAAAGCTCCAGGCTTAATATCTGACATCATGCACACCTGGAGCTGGTTATGGCTAACTGATGACGGCCGATAAGCCCGAAATATTCATCTACATCTCCATCGATTTTATCTGCCCTCGTTTCACTACGTACCCTACTGGTCACTATGCGACCGTCTGCACGGGTTCCGGATTGAATCTCAGGAATCCTAACAGGACGAAAATGCCTCGGAGTCTGATCGTTTAGGACCTCCCCCCGCCACCTTCCAACAGATACTTCGGTTTTTCAGAACTCTCGAACAGGCCGCATGGATTACAGGGAAGTTGAGCCAATCCTTTAGGGAAAAACTGTGACATTCGGACTGCCTCTGGGACCTGCAATCGAAAATTAGATGTCCCTATTTTAGCGTGCGAAACAACTTAATTATCTATTCTGACTAGCTTTGAACCCCGTGTTCGCCTGACCTGAAGGAATGGTTCGCCAAGGCCACGATCTACGTCAGAATGTCCCAGTACAGTGTGCCTTATCTCTTTACCGTTAATATTTCATGACTAGGCATCGGAACTCCTCATGCATTCGAATGCGTAGGCTAAAACCCCAGATCAACAACACAAGGTGTAAATGCTCCTTTCCGTCCAGCATTGGATGCCACACACTGCCAGGTTCAGGTCCGAGCTCGAAAGATGGGCTGGCGACCGTGGACATGGCTGAAACAACCACACCACTGTTTCCGGTCTTAGTCGGCAATACTGCACAGCATATCCAGG